AAGCCAAGAGTGAACAGGAAGTGGGGTGATAAAATCTCAGTGACCCATCAGTATGGCTCCACCTCCTCAAGTTCCACAGCTTCCCAAAATAGCAGCGCCACCTAGGGACCAAGTGCTCAAATGCAGGTGCCTGTGGGGGATATTTCACACTCAAACCACAGCGTGCACCAAGCAGTGACTTGGTGCTTTCCAGAGCCTGGAAATACAAAGATTGACAAGCAGAATGTCTGTAAGGTGGGGTGTATTAATACATATTTACAGAAAAGAAAGGGGATTCTGACAGAGGCTGAAAACAAGATGAACTTTGAGCACATTACATTGAGAAAGTCAGTCTCCAAAAGACAAGTGCTACATCATCACCTTTACACAACAAGCAGACTCATAGATATTAAGAGAGCCTGGGAACAAGGTGAAACATGGAGATCTTATGTGTTAGGAATCCAGTTTTGCCTAGGATTTGAAAAGAAGTTCTAGAAATGGATAGTGGCATTGGTTGTACAACCATGAATGTGGGTAATACCACTGGGTTCTTGCCAGGAGCCAAAGCTATCTACGGAAGCCAAAGTCAAAGCTATCTAGTGGAGACAGGTAGTTACTGAAGCCAAAGCCAAGTAGAGAGCAAAGGTCATTTAGTGGAGACCTAAAGCTATGTAGTGAAAGAGTTATCTAAGACCCTAAATCATGGGTGATAGATTGTGAGGACATCCTTTGTTAGAGCATCCGTAAGATATCTTAAGAGAACATCCTTATGGTACTTGCAGGTACAATATTTAACCCATGAAAGCACTCTTCCTATTTCCTGCAGCAGTAGATTAACCTTCCTTCTTTCCTGCCTTCTCCCTATATAAATTGGGTAAAAATTTCTAATAAAAGGAAGCCTTGATCAGATGAACAGACTTGGCTTTCATTCCTGCATCTCTTGTCCCTTTTTCCCCATTCTTTCCAATCTCTTCAGCTTAGGAACCTTGTTGAAGCCCCGCGGGACGGGGCATATCTGGCGCCCAACATGACCGAAAGGTACGAAGAGCCTTTAGCAAAAATGGAGATCTGACTAACTTCTAGTTGCATTCTTTTGCTGGGATAAAACACTCTGACATAAAGCAACTTAAGGTAGTGTCTTGGTCAGTGTTCTATTGCTGTGAAAAGACATCATTACCAAAGCAACACTTATAAAAGAGAGCATTTAGTTGAGGGCTTGCTTACAGTTTCAGAGGTTAGTCAATTAACATCGTGGCAGAGAGTATACTTGGCAGCATTCAGGCAGGCATGGCGCTCTAGCAGGTGTGGTGCAGGCTGAGAGATAGAGAGACAGACAGACAGACAGACAGAGCTATTGGGTCTGGCATGGGCATTTGAAACCTCAACACCTAACCCCAGTGACATACTTCCTCCAACAAAGCTACATCTCTTAATCCTTCTAATCCTTTCAAAGAGTTTCATTCTCTGGTGCCTAAGCATTCAAACATATGAGCCTATGAGGGACATTCTTATTTAAACCACTACAGGTAGAAAAGGGTTTATCTGGCTTATGCTTCTGGATCACAATCCATCATTGAGGAAAGTCAGGGCAGGAATTCACAAGGAAACCATGGAGGAAATACCACTCATTGGCTCATTCAGAGTTTGCTCAGAGGTTCATGTGCACCTAGATATCCTATACAATCCAAGTGCATCTGCCTGGGTGTGGGACTGTAATGGCTCAGGATTAGTGGAGGAAGGGTTGAGGAGAACTTCAACCCTTCAATACCTCACAAGAGGATGGTAGGAGTTGGCTCCCCCCTCCTCTTTCAATCTCGTGCCAGAAAGTCAGCAGCCCCACTATCGACCCTTGTAAGAATTTACCACCCTGACAGTAATCAGGCCTCACTCCTTGTTTGGCCTTTTAAGATTTTCCCCACCTCAGACCCTAGCCCCTGAGTATGAAGATGAAGTATATTCCAACAGCCCTGTCCTGGCCAGTTGTACATGGCCATGCAAACCTTGCTCCAGAGACCCTGCCCTCCTCCTATGGGGCACAAATACCCCCTTTTGCCCTCACCCCCAATAAACTGAACCAGTTCTCCAAAGCTGTTCCGTGTGTTCGTGTGTGTGTGTATGTGTTCTTTACCCACACATTTACTGCTGGCCAAGGCCCTACACTGCACCCACCAGCCCCAGCTAAGCTTCCCTCACCCCAGCCCAGCCTGGCGTGCAATGGGAAGAAGAGAACATGGAGTGGCATCAAGGAATAATGCTGCCTACAGAGAGCTGGGCCCTCTGATATCGGTGTTCAGTCAAAATAATCCCTCACAGACATGGCCATAGATCAATCTGATTTAGGCAATTTCTCAATTGAGACTCCCTCAGATGACTCTAAGCCATGTCAAGTTGATAGCCATTCCTCTTTCTTGTTAAACTGAAAGCAGAGAATATTAAACTTACAAATGAGCTAGCCACTTACTGATTACTTCATCATTCTGAACATCACCAAAGTTTCAAATGGTATGTATTCAGGGGTTAGAGAAGTAGTTTAGTTGATCAAATGCTTGCATAGCACACAGGAAGCTCTGGTTTCAGTCCCTAGCACTGCATAAAAACCAGCATGGTGGCACATGCCTAAAATACCCTCAGGCAGCATCGGCAGGAGGATCAGAAACTCAAAGTCATACTCAGCCACAGAGGAAGTTCAAGGCCAGCCTGACTGAGGTACATGAGGCTTGTGTGGAGAAAAGGAGGAACATATTAGGCAAAGAGCCATAAACTCAATTTGAAAGTCCAGCTGGTGAAGATCCTTCTTAGTTATATAGACTATCATTTATATAGTCTATGGTCAGCTGTTGCCCTGGTGGTGTCCAATGAACCACCTCCCAAGATTCAGGCCCATGTATAATCTCTCATATCAATTCAGCCCTTGGCCACAAGAGCAACTTTGGTCAGTGAGTCAGAAACAAGAGTACTCCAACTGTATTGTTGAGCATGTTTACAATAGGCCTTATCTTTCTGGAATGTTTTCCTAGAACTCATTTAGCATGTTGTGAGAAAGCCCAAACAGCTACCAGGAAGCCCACATAGAGGAGCACTGAGGCCTCTGGTCAACAGTCCCAACTGACCACCAGCACAAAAAAAAACGAAACGCTGGTTGGGTGACATTGGCAGCAGCTTTATTAATCGCATCTCAGCTATATCACAGTTTGCAGCTTCCCTTCATTTCATATTTTGTTCATGATTCTGGAAGCAATGAGCTTGAGTGTGCGTTTGTGTGTATGAATGCGTGTGTATTACATCTAGATGTGCAGCAGGTAATACCATATGGGCTTGTGCAAGTGTCCCCTACAGTGTTCACTAACAACCAAATTGCCTGTCAATACTTGTCTCAGACCACATCCTTGTCATCATGGGGCACAAGGCTGAATATATCTGTCCCCCCACCCTGGAGAGAGCAGAGAAAGCTTCTTGTTTTGCTGCTGCCCCAGGTTGAGGCTTTTCCCCTCATTTGGGCACGGGCTCAGAATTCCAGGGGTATCTTCCTGAACGGTATCTTCCTCGGCAAGCTCTCCATGAGCTAATTGTCCTGAGCACCTGGCTTATACGTGATTGAGTCCTTGGGCTGGCAGAAGAGAGAGAACGGGCTTCTCTTTTTGAGGGGAGGACATTTAGGATTGGTAACATTACCCGTCTTCAATGCCATTAGTTCAAGCTGATATGGCTATCATTGCTGAAGTCTTGTCACAGCAAGAATGGAGGAAAGGATGAATGTGGGGTGAAGGATCTTTCCCCTTGTGGAGGAAAGCCATCAGGAAACTTCTTCCTCATAGGGCTGCTTCCTCCACCCTCCAGCCACACACTGGGTCCTTAGAGTACAGGTGTGGGAAGACATTTTTCAGGAGGACACTAGCTCCCCAGCCTGAGCTTCTTATGAGCCACCTTCCTCTAAGGGTGAATGGAAAGTGTGTATCAGAACAGTGCATTGCTTTATGAGTGATCACTGAAAGTAAACTCACAAGCCAGTAAGTTATTGTCATGTGCTGTGCACACTTCATACCTGTATATACTTAGCTTCGTCCCACTGGTGCTGCAGCAGTAGTTCACACCAGTGTCACACACGCACAAGCTCAATGTGCGGCATGAACTACGAGTCAAGATGGCTGTCATGTCTGCAAGGAGCCAGCCTTCGCCTACCAGTCAAGCCACGTGTGCTGAGGAGAGCAAAGGCAGGGAACCACTTTGGAGCCCAGAAGATGGTGATTGAGTCCCCGATGTGAGGTGCTGAGATTCTGGAGCTACCCTGCTGGCCTCTGGTTTTGTTTAATTGTGGTTCTTCCCTTTTGCTGTAAGAACGTATTTTATTTTTACCATAGGAAGTCATGGTTGAGAAATTTTGGACATTTAAAAGGGATGCTGAATTTTTAAGTAATGGTGTTTTTAAAAGACAGCATGACTTCTCAATTTGTACTGTATTCTATTATATTAACATGAGATCTTGCGGACAAACAGGACTTGTCATGGTTCACCTTGGTTATCAGTTTGATACAATGGGGAAGGAGAAACCTCAATGGAGGAAGTGCCTCCATTGGCCTGGCTCATGAATATGTCTGTGGGGTATTTTCTTGATGGCTGGTTCACAGAAGAGGGTCCAGCTCACAGTGGGCGGTACTACTCCTAACAGGTGGTCCTGGGCTGGATAAGAAAGCTAGGTGAGCAAGCCAGAAAGGGGCATTCCTCCATGGTCTCTGCCGAGCTCATCTCTAAGCTCCTGCCTCAATTTCCCTTGCTGATGGACTGTAACCTGTCCTTTACTCCCAGGAGCTGCTTCTGTTCAGAAAAGCAAAGTAGAACGGTTGATAAACGAATCTCCACTCTGTAGTCAACTGGAAAATCAATCAGAGCTCTTCACTGGATAAACAGCCAGTGAACAGGGGCCGCTGAAGAGCAGAAAGCAAACAGATGCTGATCTGAGAAGCTAATCATTGTAACAAGTCTGGCTAATAAATAACCCTTTACAGTGAGGAAATACAACAAACAACGGTTTTAAAGTTTGCATTTTTTTTTTTTTTATGGTGGACAGTCATCATTTGCCCCGACAGCCATCTGAAGCCAATAGTCCTGATTATTAAAAACCACAAAGTTGTATAAGTGCTCTCCTCCTTTTTGGAAACCATGTTCATTCTCTCTCCATGAAACAGGGCTGTCTGCAAAGCCTTGAACTGTCAAGGTGACCCATGGAGCTAACTTTGGTTCATCAAAGTAGTGACTGAAAAAGAAAGAAAATTCTTGTAAACAAGCATTCAGGAACATCCACATTAAAAAAATTATCCAGGATTAGGGGTTTTTCTAATGTTCTAATTAAGCTGAGACTGTACTTTGATTTATAAAAACTAGGCTTATGTGAATTAAATAGTTGGGGTTGCATTATGAATTCCATAACATAGAACTCAGAAAACAACTTCAGCAGCTCTTATTCAGAGCCTGGGAAATCACTGAGGACCAGGAGAACAACCTCTGCCCTGCCGAAGCTACAAAACAGTGTCCCTCCTACTAAGGTGGGTTTTGTTTGTTTTTAAATGTGTGTGTCTGTGTGTTGGTCAGAAGACACCTTGTAGGTCCTCTGTTGGACCCTGGGATCAAACTCAGGTTGTCAGTTCTGGCTGCAATGTCTTTACCCACTGAGCCATCTTACCGGGCCCCTCCCATGAATATTCTTATTAGGGCAGAAACTTAGTGTTTAACACTTGCCCTCCATGCTCAAGGCCTTGAGTTTGATTTCCAACAAGGAAGGAAAAGATCCAAGAAATCTAGGATCTCTCTATGTAGCCCTAGCTGTCCTAGAATTCACAATGTAGACCAGGCTAGCCTCGAACTCATCCACTTGCCTCTGCCTCCCAAGTCCTGCAATTAAAGGCATGCACCACCATGCCGGGCTCCTATCTCTGAAAAAACAGACTGCAGGATTCCTAAACTTAACGTAGATCATAATTTGTCCCACAGAATATTGAAGTGTTTTCAAGTAGTGTTATACTTTTGTATCAAATGGCTCAAAACAGAAGCAGAAAAATGAGCAGCTTGTTTCAAGAAAGGCTCTGCTTTCTCTTTCCACAGGGGTTAAGTACTTCCAAACAGCATTTTCTCTATCAGCAAGAATAACTATGTCAGGCCCGGAGAGATGGCCTCGGACCCACGTTTGCTTCCCACCACCCACATAGGTAGACTCACAAGAGCCTGTAATTCCAGCCCCAGGGAATCTGAAGCCCTCTTCTGGCCTCCACTGGAACTCATACACATATAAGCATAAATAAAATAAATCTTTAAAAAGATGAGGTTGGTGGGTTTTTTGTTTTTTGTGTTTTTTTTGTGGTCACTATACTGTGAGCCCAAGCAATGAAAAAATGGGTATAAGTGTTTGAGGGTCCCTGCCTGTACCACACTAATGAAAGTCCTTAACACCCCAATATAGTACCACCAAGTAAGAGAGACACAGCCACAGTAAGAAGTAAGAAGGGTTCTCACCACAGCTGTTCCAGAAGGACATGTATCTTCTCTGGCAGTAGGAAACCTGTGATTGTACACAGACAGGCTTGGGCTATCACTGTGCTTGGCTGGGGACAGCAGTAGGTTGAGACGAAATTATAAGGCTGGTTATTTCTGCCATAAAAAGGAAAGAGAATTTATTTACAACCTCCACATTGTCCTCTCCAAAGTACTGAACTCTCACTGAAGACAAGCAACGAGTTCCAGAGTTCATATACCCACAGGTCCGCACTGCAGAAGACAGCACCAAGCCAGTCAAAGAGCTCCAGGGCACTGCAGGCCTCCTCCGGTTCCCCTGCAAGCGCGCTGCTCTGCAGCACCGGACACTGTAGCTCTCTCACTGTGCTCAATGACATTTTTGGCTGATGCTCCTGAATTTGATATTTGGAAAAGTAGGACATCACCGTTGATTCTTCCGCACCTTAAAACACACCACATAAGGCTGAGTCAACATTGTTACAATTCGGATGGGTCTTGACCCAACTCCATTCCCTTTTCTTTTTGTATGTGTTTTTGAGACAGAGTCTCAGCATGTAACTGGCCCCAAATGCACGATTCTCCTGACTGTCTCCCTTCACAGGTATGCATCATTATGCCCAACACCTTTCCCATTCCCTTTTGAGTTACGGGGCACGGGGTAAGACTAAGTAAGATGAACGCCAGGCAAGCAAAGCTGTATCCTAATTACAGTTGCTTGAAGTTGCTTTTCTGCTGCTTATGCAAAAGGACCACGAACAGTTACCTTTTCTGTCTTTCCTGGAAAATACATGGACTCAGGCCCCTATTCATTTTACTAGTTTTAGCAAGAAAATGTCAACTTCATATATAAACCCCAAAGTATTCCTTATATAGGGATGTTAGTGAACTCTACAGAAAGGAAATTACTTGTATAATCTAACAGGAACAGCAAAGCAACTGAATGACGACGGAATCTCACGCTAATCATCCCTTTGACTATCTAGAACATTCCATTGCATCTTTTCAGAGAAGTCTGTGCACCCAACAGCCTTGGAGGACAGAAACAGACACTCCTTCCAGGGCAGGCTGGCTTACTGTCTAGTAAGACAGAAATAATGGCGTCCCTCCATCTGTGGGCAGAGCACACAGGCTTACTTCCACTATAAAAGGACTGGGTTCCTTGGGTCCTATCCTATCCTCTTGTTCTGTAATGTAACCCGTCACACGTACCAGCATTACTAGACCAATTCTGTGATCCTCTAGGCCAACAGGGATTTGGTGAAATGCTGATTTTCCTATGTGTTGGTTAATTCTAGTTGTCAAGCTGGGTTAGTGGTAGAGGCCATTTCTAGGAGAGTCTGAGGATGTTTTAAAAGGAGACTGGCATGTGTGTTCATGGCTGGAGCAGGGAAGCCCCACTCTTAGGGTGGGTAGACCGGGTTAGTCCAACAGCTGGGGCCCAGAGAGAACAAAAAGGCAGAGGCAAGGTAAATTCACTCTGTCTCCGGGAAGAGATCTTGATCTCTGGACGTCAGGCTCTAGGTTCTCAGGCCATTGGCCTTGTCCTGAGAGTAACATTCTCAGCTTGCCAGCAGGGCTCCAGACTTGTCAACAGTTACCACTGTGAGGAATCAAATCCTTTGTCTTTGACTCAGGACTTGCACCCATGACACTTGTGGCTGACTTTGCTGGCTGGTAGAGAGGGTAAAATCTCAGGCCATTCTTAGTTTCTCTGGAAGGATCAGTAGTCTAGGAATAAGAAGCTACACAAATCCTACTGCATGGACAATCCTCAGAGAAGTTGCCAACTAACAGAAACGTCAGTAGACATCTTTTCCCCCTTGTATATCTACCATATGCAGAAGGAGAAGAGGCATCAAGCATTACACAGTTTGGACAGAGAGAAGCCATCTGGGGTCAAGAGTGTTCAGGAACTTCCCCTGAGGGGCAGACAGAAGGACAGAGTCCCAAGATGGACTATGTTTCCCTGTCCTCCAAAGGACACACTACACATCACCATAACTACCAATAATCGATTATTACAATCTTGCACTGGGCCGAAGATATACTTCTCAAAGGAGGAATGCATGCTGACGTTGTAAGCAGACTAATATACTTGATGAATATTAATGCTGGCACCAAATTTAGTATTCTGATCAATTAAAAGTCATAACAAATGCTATCTGACATTTAATAATAGTCTGCCTAGGTTACTATCCTGCAAAAATAATTAAACAGATCACACACATATAATTATAATTGATGCTGATTTAAAATAGTCTAGCCAAGGCTTGTTAACGTAAGCAGAGGTAAAGAAAGGAACAGGTTACACATTAGCTGCTCTGAAGCCACTGTGGAGCTCTCTGGGTCTGCAGAAAACCCAAGAAAATTGGGGCAGATTGCTTCAGAACTGGATCATCCTGAACCAAGGATGCTGAGGACACCTGGGAAGCCAGCGCAGCCCCATCACAGTGCCTACACACCTATGTAAACAATATCCCTTGACCGCAGCTGCACATCACCATTCAACTCCCGTTATGCCCAACAGATTTAAAAGTCACTGCATCATTATGTAAAATATTCCTCATACCTGTATGATGCCAAGCCAAAAGAAAATCGAACTTCAAAGGCTTCTTTTCTTTGAAGGACCAAGATATTCTTTCATACTTCTTAGAATCCAGGTTAAGGGATAAATCCATTAAATCAATGGAAATGACTTGAAGTAGAAAAAGGATTACTTGTTTCATTCAAATTATACATTGCTTACACTGTAGAGAAACATCTATTTTCGGTAAGTTTATACATAGTACAAATTATTTTGTTCTTCAGCCCTTGGCCCAACAAAAACATACCCCTAAGTAGGTTATTTCTAGTGCTGAGAGCTGCTAAAGGCAGTTGTTTTAAATACTTTCAATCCTTCCTAGGTCAAAGGTCAAGGGTAAAGGTCTTCAGGAGATCAGCTTTAATAAGCGGTGCATGTGGTAGCCTCAGTTATTGATGTCCACACCAGACAGTGTCATCAAAACCACCTCTCACTTGTGGGTGAATTTCTATGAGTAATCACAAACCCTAAGTTGTTTATCTCCACCGCATGCAAGGGACTGGTTCAGTTCTACAACCCTTATTAAATCCTTGGCAGTGTATGGCCAGAGAAAAACAATTTAACAGCACCACTCCCCCAGGACGCTCAACCAACCGCTCCTTGAGCCAGGGTTTCAAAGGCAAGAAAGAACCATATCTTTCTGAACAGAGATCAGAGGTGAGGCAAACATTTACAGTTTATTACAAGAGAACTGCCTCGCCAGACACCAATGGAGCACACACAATACTTACTAAACTTCATCGGTTTTCTGCCAGAATACCGAGAAGGATAACCTTGAAGTCCAGTTTCTTCATAAGTATCTTTATCCAGCGATAAAATTAATTTTCCTATTAATCAAACAAGAGTTCCCATAGGGGACGTTAGAATATGGCTGATATTCTCTAAGAAAGCCAGACCACTGAGCAGTGAAATGGCAGTACGATAAGTACATATGAAGAACTTATTCATAACATATCAATAATATCTAGCAATGTACCTGACTGGCCTGGAACCTGCTGTATAGCTGAGGCTGGCCTTATACAGGTGGTCATCATCCTGTCTCAGCCCTCCACATACAGGGATTACAGGTGTGAGCCACCATGCTTGGTGATACTGCCTACCACATATACATATGTAGACATTACAATAGCAAAACTGGAAATAATTAAATTTGTATTAAGAAAAAAAAATCCTCAAACCATGGTCTATATATTACCTCAAATACCTTTACATTTTAATTTAGTGTGTATTTGTATGACGGGGTGTAACTATTACCAAGGAGCCTGTGGATGTCAGAAAAGGGTGTCAGATCTCCTAGTGCTTGAGTGAGCTGCCACAGTGGTGCTTGGAACTGAACCTGGGTCCTCTAAAATGGCAGTTATCCCTCTTAGCTACTGAGCTATCTCTCCAGCACCTACTCCACGTATCTTCAAAACATTTAAAAACTGTATGTTAAAGCCAGGCAGAGATATGCTGGTTCGTGTTTGTAATCCCAGCACTTGAAAACCTGAGGCAGCGGGGCATGAAAATTTGAGGCTAACCTGGTCTAAATGGCAAGACCCTATTTCAAAACAAAACACTGTATGCACTGACACAGAAATATACCTATGTCATACACCCTGGGAAATAAGACTACTGAGGAACACCGTTGTATAACCAATGTTAAGAAGTTTATGCTTCTGAATTCACAGAAAAATCTGAAAGAATAAACATCAAACTGCTCCATCTAAGAAGAAAGTCAGGAGCACAGGGAGGGGCTTCATTTCTGTTTAGAGTTATATGACCCCCCCCCCAAAGACAGGGTTTCTCTGTGTAGCTTTGGCTGTCTCAGAGTCGCTTTGTAGACCAAGCTGGCCTTGAACTCACAGCTGTCCACTTGCCTCTGCCTCCCTAGTGTTGGGATTACAAGCGTACACCACCTCGCTTAGCTATGACTTGACTTTTAAAAAAAGATCTTATTATTTTTATGCATGTGGGTGTTTTGCCAGCATGTCTGTCTGTGTACCATACGAATGCCTGGTGTCTGTGGAGGTGAGAAGAGAGCACTGGATTCTCTGGAACTAGAGTTACAGATGGTTGTGATCCACCAAGTGAGTGCTGGGAACTGAACCCTGGTCCTCTGGAAGGCCAGTGCTCTTAACTGCCGAGGCATCTCTCTATGCCCCCTTCCGACTTTTTTGTTGTTGTTGTTCAACAGTGCTATTTATTTTCTAACTGAAGAAAGGAGAAAAAAAAAAAAGAATGCTGTCACCATTCGGTAGGAGAGCCACAGTATTATCTTCATCAATCCTTGTACTGTATGTTAATGCAGAGAATGAACCTGAAGGAAAAAGTCAAGAAAAGTAATTTAGACAAAAAATGTCAGCCCTGCATGACATTTTTGATGAATTATCAAAAATGATGAATCACACGACAACAAACCTTCTAGGTAAGTAGTAGTTAGTATCTAGCACAGCTCTAACTGACTCAAAAAACCCAATATACACCAGAGATAAGTTGGAACACACAAAATCTAAGTTCCAGCTGGATCACCCCCTACTCAGGCACCATTCGGGGTCTTTTTGCACAAGTTTACCATCAACAGGTTGAGAATAGACTCAGAATAGACCCTGTAATCCTGGGGAACACCAGCAGAAAGGTACACTGCAGAAGAGGCAAGAGGAAAAAACTGGATGCAACGTTCTAGGTTAATATTCAGAAAGTATTTAGGCAAGTTAATATTCAAAAGATACTTAATCTTCTTCATCTGCTAAGTTGGGGACTCAACCTGCTTCATTAAGTTATTGCAAGGGCTAATTAAATTTGGTAAGATATGTAGCTATCACCTAAAGAGAACACAGGAAAGAGGAGGAAGACAACAATGAAGGATAGAGAAGTGACCCATGCTGGCCACATGGTCTATCCTCCACAGGCCCTTTCCTTTGTTTGTTTGTTTTTTTTTTCTTCGAGACAAAATGTCTTTGTGTAGCCTTAGCTGTTCCGGACTTGCTTTATGACCAGGCTGGCCTAGAACTCACAGAGATTCCCCTGCCTTTGCCTCCCCAAGGGTTGGGATTACAGGCGCATGACACTGTGGCCGGCTCCACGAGCCCATTTGCAAACAAGTGAAGAACCCCAGTATTTTGCTGGGCTCTTCCTCTGGCTTTTCACCTTTCCTTTTTTGTATGAGACACTAAAGGCCTTTTCTCACCTTTCTTTACAAAGGTGTTGATGAATTCATGTGTAATGAATTCATGGAGAGGTAAGTTCTTCACAGAGTAATAGGGTCCAATTTCCATGACCAGGTCTTTCAGCTCTTTTGACAGCAGTCCACATTCAGGAATAAGAAAGGAAACCTATTGGAATGTAGAAGTATAAACTCGTATTTTTATGAAGATTAGCATGTTTTTAGAAGTGAAATATCAAAACTGCTAGTTATTCCTTTACACGTTTTACTGGGACATATGAACGCAAGCAACTTTTTTCCCCTCTCCAAACAGGGTTTTTCTGAGTAGCCCTGGCTGTCCTGGAACTTCTCTGCTTATCAGGCTGGCCTTGAACTCAAGAGATCTACCCCACTCTGCGTGGGATTAAAGCTACGTACCACCAGGCTGCTAGGCAACAACTCTTTTAATCTATCAATCTCAGGGAAACAGACATTTGACTACTCAAGCTTTTCATTTCTGCATTGCAATGTAAGGCAAGAGACTAAGCAGAAGTACTGTAAGAGAAGTCTTGCTTGAATTTTATCTTTTGCATATAAGCAATACATGTTATGTCCTTCACACTTTATATTCTAGGAAATACAGTATAATTCAACATGCCTTGATTTGTTTACTCTGGAGTGATGAACTCAAAGGACCTGCTCCTGGAAGCATAAGGAGTTTAGGGACATTCAATTAGTAAGAAGCTACAAAGAGGCAGAAATGCTCATAGATGCTTCCATTTCCTAGACTAAGGTACCAGGTCAGACCAGATGAGATAAGCGGCACATCCCTGACCGCAGGGATGAACTTTTAACCAAAGGGATGTAAAATCCGCGCGTATTTCAAATGATTCCCCAAGAGCACACCTAAAGTCCGTCCCGCAAAGCCCCAACAACCGGTCTGTTCCTGAGGTACAAGGAAGCCAGTATAATGTCTGAGAAACCTATCAGACGGGTATTTACGGTGTGAAATGCTTAAGCCCGTGTCGTTTTAAGTTTTGGTGTTCCTTGGTAGTCAAACCGTGCTTGGAAAAGAGCCACAAGCTGAGCCACAGACAGACCTGTCCAAATTATGGGCGTAAGTCAGCTACGCGCCGTGCAGCTCACACTCCTAACTCTTCCGTGCCCGCCCAATGCTTCACCGAGCTACCGCGGGCCACAGTCCTGAATCAGGATGTCGCCAGCCAAAAATCGCAAACCAAAACTCCGCTGTACCTCAAGCACCACCCTACGTCTAGTGTATGCTGGAAGTAGTAGTCCTACACATCGCCAAGAAAGGCGGTCGGCAAACTGAAAAAGACTACAGTTCCCAGCATGCCTGAGGACGAACTCTGCCCGCCCCCCGCAAGCCAAAAAGGTCCAGCCGAAGAGGCTCTACCTTAAACCTCTCCAGCTCAAGGGTGGACCTGACTCACCCTGTAATTATGATAGTGCGTCTCCACGAGATGCTTATGGCGAGACTTGTCGTGGCCGAAGTTGGATTTCTCACAGACCAGTAAGTGCCGGGGCGCCTCTTGCAGCCTGCGCAGCGTGGCCATGTTAAGCACGAGTCCAGACGCGCCTCTCCTCCCGGCCCGCCCTCGGCCCGCCCCTTTCTGACTGCGCCCCTCCCTCTGCCACGCCCTAACCCTTCTTTCCCTCCCCCTCCCTTTTCCTTTGCTGTCAGTTCCTAGGAGCTTTGGGTAGGAGTAGGCTCTGGGAGTTTGGCGGTGTCCTTATGCTTGTAAAGAACGCAGAAGCTTCCCCTAAGGTTCTCGAGAACCTGGTACATCCATCCCACAGAGTTTCTCTAGGGAGAAACAGTGCATATGCGTGGGCAAGACTCAGAGAAGGCCTGCACCCTGTCACGTTATGAAAGGGAGGAAGATAGGACAGAGGAAAAGACCCAGTCAGGAAATTCACCTGCTACGCAGCAACACTCTTCAGACTCCTCACACGGTGTGGTTCCTAATACCCACTCGCAGGCCCCTGAGGTCTCACTGAGCCTTCCCAAATTGTGTACGAAATTGTGCGGGAAGATTATAAGGCATTTCTGCGTTTTTACTTCCAACAGGACTCCTTTGCTTTTATTATTATTTGATTTTTTTATTTCCAACATAAGTATTTGTGTGATTTCCCCCAAAGCCTCAGTTTCTTTGCTGACTTGTACTTACATGTAGCTAATCTTTAGTTAGTTTTGTTTTTTCAAGACAGGGTTTCTCTGTGTTTTGTAGACAAAGCTGGCTGAATCTGTAGACAAGGCTGGCCTCAAACTCAGCAGAGGCCCCTGATGAACAAAGTGAAGCTGTTAAAGTAAAGCCAGTTCTGAGGACACATGACACATATTCATACAGACAAGAGTCTGGAAGTTCACTGACACTTCTCTCCAAACACCCTGACAGAGGCTGCTTCGGCATTCATCCTTTTATCGCTTTTATTTTTATCCTTTTTTCTTTTTCTTCTTAGTACACTGTCAATGTTTTTCCTTTACTGCATTCTTTAAAAACATTTTTATTCCCTCTCATGTATTTGCATACATTTCACACCTCATACATATGTTTATCTTGCTGAGTTTGAGACCAGCCTTGTCTATAGATACAGCCAGCTTTGTCTACAAATTCAGTTACAGCACAGCCAGACCTACACAGAGAAACCCAGTTTTGGAAGAAAAAAAAAAAAAAAACATTGATAAAATGAAGACATATCAAAACAGTTGATGACCACCAAGCCAGCACTTACAGAAGATGCTTAAAGGAATATTGCACACTGGGGAAAAAGAATGACAGCGTTAGTCATGAGAATGCAGAAAGAATAAACCATGAGAAGAATGTCTGAGTAATGGAGAACTAGGAAGGACTCCATCATGGAAGCCAGCAATCCCTTCATCTGATGTGGAGAAAAAAGAAAAGCACAAACAGCAAATCAAGAAAACCAACCCACAGTGTTAGAGGAATTAGCTGCATGCAGGGAGTGGAACCAGCCCAAGAGAGAAATGAATGCTGCAGGCAGTAAAGCTGGGGGGACAGAGTTATCTAGACCCTTTGACACTGTAGCTCCAGAGAGCAGGCAAAGGATTTGGTATTTTCTGTAGAGGAATTTTAATTCAGAACATGGCTGTTCTGGCAAGAGATCACATCCAAAGACCTTCTAGGTCTGTGTGATCTGGCTGGAATACAAACATGCCTTTCACCCAGCATACAGAGACAAGCAGACCTGAGTTCAAGGCCAGCTTGGTATAGAGCAAGTATCAGGTAAAGAAAAGCTTAGGTCCAGGTGTGGTGGTACATGCCTTTAATCCCAAATGGTGAAGGTAAAGGCAGTTTGTAGAAGGAAGCACCTGTGTTTGAAAGTGATGTCTAATTGAGTGGCAGAAACAGTGATGAATCAGAGGAAGACTTGACAGACTAGGACACACCCAACTCTCATGAGAAGAGACGGGAAAGGGAAGCTACTTAAGGGGCAATGAGAGAAAAAGGAGGCAGTTTTACTGGGACAGTAAAAGAGAGAAAGGTTTCAGAGAAAGAACACAGGTGAAGACAGAACAAGCCAGAGAAGGAGCCAGAATATTAGAAAAGATTGTTGGAGTTAGTTTGAGCTGAAGCAGAGCAATTCAGAGGCTGAGAGAAAAGCCAGGTTGAATAAATCAGTCGGGAAAGGAGTTTGAGCAAGAACAGCTGAGTTGAACCAGCCAGATATGAGCTCAAAAAGAAGGGTAAGTTTATTCAGCAGTATGTCTCATAGGCTGAAAACATCCTAGGCCTAAGTTAGATTGTATGGAGGCTGGAAGCTTCCAGGACTAGGCCTACGTTAGCAGACAGAGGCAAGTTAGCCTCGTAAATGACAATTACTTCAGGAGAATAAAAGTACCTTTACAGTTTTCCCTGCTGGATTTCAATCATTCTTTTGCTGGATCTTTCCTCACTCTGCCCTAATTATTATTATTATTATTATTATTATTATTATTATTATTATTATTATTAGAAATAGAATGTTCACTCTGTGCCATTGTATGCAGGAAGTATGTAATTAGCTTTTTTGTTTCTTAGGGGGTTACAGTTAAGAGATTGCCTTGAGTCTCAGAAGAGACTCTGGAGTTTTGAACCTGTTGAGACTGATACCGACAGTGCTGAAGGTGGGATAAGCACATTTTACACCACGAGTCTCTGGGGACCAGGAGCAGAAAGGGCAGTTTGAATGAGAAATGCCCCCATAGGCTCCTGTGTCTGAGCATTTGGTCCCCAGCTGGTGGGGCTGTTTGGGAAGCTTGTGGAAACTCTAGGAGGTAGAGCCTTGCTGGTAAGTGTTTACCACAGCACCAGAAAAGTGACTAATACAGACCTTAAAGTACAACCCCAAAGTCTGAAACTGCTACAGAAACACAGCAGATGGCGTCAAGATGTAGACACAGGCCAGGACTTCTGGAAAGGGTTCCTACAGCAAAGGAATGATCTTAAATATTGAATCAGACTACAGAAAATTAAAAACTTCTGCACAGCAAATGAAATAATCTGCACAGTGAAGGCACCGCTTGCAGAATTGGAGGAAAGCTTTACCAAATATATATATCAGGCAGGGGAATTAGTATCTAGAACTTATAAAGAACTTTAAAAATTAAATACCAAAAACATCCAGTGTATAAGTGTACAGGTGAATCAAGCTGAGTGCGGTTACACTCGCCTGTAATCCCAGCACTCAGGGAGGCAGAGACAGGTGGATCTCTGTGAGTTCAAGGCCAGCCTCATCTACAAAGCGAGTCCAGGACAGCCAAGGCTACACAGAGAAGCCCTGTCTTGAAAAAAAAAAAAAAAAAAGAATCAGACAGTTTTCAAAAAGAAAAGATACAGATTACCAATAAATATATGGAATAGTACTCTACAACCTTCACCATTAGAGAAATTCAAATAATAATAATAATAAACTACATTGTGATTCCAGCTCCTATCAATCAAAAAACTTGTCATCAAGAAAACAAAGAACAAAGGCTGGTTCGGGGAAAGGGACCTTATACACTGCTGTTGGAGATGACAATTAGTGTAGCCACTGTAGAAATGTGTATGGAGGTTCTTCAAAACAAAACAAAACAAAACAAAAAAAACAAAACTGCAAATACAAGTACACTATGAACCAGCTGTACCACTCCTGGGTGTGCAGGGATGAAGAGTTCTAATCTAATGTGTCACAGATACTTGGATATTTATGTTTAATGCTGTCCTATTCACAGCAACTAAGACATGGAACCTGTTTAGATGCCCATCAATATGAATGCATGAAGAAAATGTGCTGGGTGTGATGGCATTGCAGGGGAGGGACAGAGGCAGGAGGTTTGCTGAGAGTATGAGGCCATCCTAGTTTAGCTAGGAAGGAGCATGCCTGCCTGGATTATGGGGTGTGAGACCCTGGCCCCAAAAAACAAAAGCATAGGAAAGAAAACATGGCATGGGTACACAATGGGATTTTGTTTTTTAGCTTGAAATTTCCAGGAGAATGGATGGAACTGGAGATCACTAGTTTAAGTGAAATAACTCAGAAAAACCGCATGATTTCTCTTACTCATGGAATCAAGATTTAAACCTGTGTATAAAGGTTGTGAAACCAGAAAGAGAACCACAAGAGTTAAGGAGATCCTGAGGTGGGGATGGGGATAAGAGGAAATAGAATACATGGGATGTCAATGCAGAAGGAGGAGACTAAGGGGAGGGCACAATAGTGGCAACAGCAACAAAACTCAGAAAACACACACACACACACACACACAAACGGGACCAACAAGGAGGACAGTGGGCAGTGAGGTGGGGCACTCACGGAAGGAAGGAATGAAAACAGAGTGTAATGACAAATGCTATAAAAATGCCATAATGGAACCCATTATTTTAGAACTAAAAAAGTAAACATGACAATAATCAGGCACAATGACACACGTCTATATTCCCAGCATTTGGTAGGCTGAGGTAGGGGGATTACTGTGAATTCAGGGTCATCCTGGGCTACATAGTTCCAGCTCAGTTGGGCTACAGAGTAAAATGCTGTCTTGTAATGCCCAAAGTTAACCTGTAAGTCCCTTCTGTCCAGAGACCAGGTAACTTTTTGGAATGCTGGGAGTTGCAGTTCTTGGAAAATAACAAAGCCCCATGGGAAGTACAGTGGCCCATAAATTTGTCTTTATAAACCCCATCAACATGTGGCTCTAGGCCATTCTCAGCCACAACGGAATTGGAAGATAGTCAACTCCTGGAAAGTACTAAAAGTACTCTTTTAAATAAGTTAGTATTGGGTCAAAGTTAAAATCCCAAACACAAAATCATAATGTGTGAATATACTTATTGAGAACTATATCCATAGATGTGTGGTGTGTGTCAAAGTTCTCTGACTCAGAAGCACCTAAAGTGACGGGTTATGCTAATTAGACCCCATCACGGCCTAGGGATCATTTAACACCATGTTATTACACATAGGCCCGGCAGTGCAGGGGAATGGAATTGCGGCAGACAGCCCTGTGAGATCAGAGGCTGCCTCCCTCTGAGCCTGAACACCACGTCACACACCTTCTTGGCAACAGACTCCAGACTCCCTGCTACAGATCACCTTCAG